TCGTTGGGGAGGTCGGCGAAGGTCCCCCGCGACCCCCTCCCCTGAAAGTCGCCTATATGACGGAGGGCTTGCATGCGCAGCCTACCCCGCGCCGAAAGCATGGCCTGCTCCATGGGCAGCAAGCGCGCCAGAGCTGCAGCGTTGTCCGCGGAGGTGGCAGAGAGACCAAATTTCAACACGTTAACGATCGCAGCACAGGTCAAATCGAAGTGGTCCGGGACTGACAGCTCACCAGAATTGCCAACGGGAAAGAAGTCGAGGACGTTCAGTCCGGACATGGTCCGAAGCTGCTGCAAGGTCTTGTCGGTGCCGGTAACGGTCCCCCCCATCATTGTTTGCAGGGTCTCTTTGTTGGGAACGTCAATTCCCCGCTTACCACGCAGCGCCCACATCAAACGTCCCGCACGCCAAGCGGAAGCAGTACTCTCGAATTCCGCTTTTGCGAAGCAACGCTGGCGATCAGCGTCCGACCCCGGAGCAGCAGCTGCACCAAGACCCGCACCGACCGCCACCGCGGCTCCCGCGCCATCAGCAGCATGCGGGCCGACCACGTGCGAACCCGCGCCCCCACCTTGGTTGTTCAGCAACTGCTGCAGGGATTGCTCCAAAGCCGATACTTTCGCAACGAGATTCTCGTTATCTTGCTGCAACATCACAAGCTGCAACGCACCCGGCGCCCCCGACGCCGCACCGGCACCCAGGTTGTTCCCCCCGGCCACCGCAGACGACCCACCGAGGCCCTCCACGGATAAACCAGCCATGCCGCCGGCCAGCCGTGCCTCATCCCCGCCGACCGCCGACCCCGCCGCGGCTGCGGCCCCAGCTGCCGCTTCTTGCTGCTGACGTTGAAGTTGCTGCGTCTGCTGCTGCTGCTGCCGCTGCTGTTGCGGCTGCTGCTGCGGCGGCTGCTGTTGCTGCGGCGGCGGGTTCTGCTGGTCCTGCTGGGCTGCCAATGCCATTGCGGCAGAGGCGCGCCGCCACAGTGGCGGAGGGAGGGACACCGCCACCACCGCTGCTGCCGCCGCCGTCGGCGATCGAGGCATCCACCGACGTACGGATCCCGTCGGCAGGCCCTTTTCCGAGATTTGGATGCGAATCCATGTCGCCCCGAAAGCAGGGGAAACGTAGACGCGAAACTTCTCCAGTCCAATACGTCACGCCACGAAACGTCACGTGCCAAAAAGAAACGTCACGGCAGAGAAACGTCACGGCAGAAAACAACCCTTGGCCACCACACGCACACGTGCTCTCGCTCGCCCCCGGTAAACACGGCGAAGCGAGTAGACTGAAAACAGAAACCAACACGCTCGTCCGCTTCCTGCTTTCTGATTGGCCAAGGTTTGTTTCTGCCGCTTCTCACAAAACGCAGATTTCCCTTACAGTGGAAAATTTCATAAACCCCAAAATGACCTTATGAGTTTTAAAAGAGAGGTTTCGTCCCAGTGCCTGATCGCAAACTTAGGCTTGTTCGAAAGCTATGGCCAGCAGCTTTCCAACGAACCCATTCGCGATTGCTTGTTCTACGGGTAAGGTCTTCAAATTCATCGAAAACAGCATATGCGGCGGGGCTCCAAATTTGGCGTTACACCGGCCACATGCCGGAATTTTCAAAACAATATTACAGTGGCGGCTACGGTTTAAGAGAGGGTCGGTACAAGCCAATTTCACTCTCTTAAATCCGGCTTTCTGTTATATCGTGTTGGCTACGGTATAAGAGAGAATTCTCTTAAACAGTATCTCACTATAAGAGAATATTCTCTTATATCGTAGACAAAACTAAAGGTCGTGAAACCGGGACTCTCGCGCACTGACTACACTCGAATGCCAAAATAGGTCATGAAGAGAGCGTATCATGCATGTCACTTGCGCAGCTAGCGTTACCACGTCGGGCTACCTCCAAACACCGCTCATTCTCTTGGTTGGCAAGCACGTGGACCCAAGTACTGCTGTACGTGGTACGCTTTTGGTGGATCTGCGTTCGGAAAATAAATCATCGTTGTGTGATGCGATGCACATTTTGCACGTACGTGGACACGTAAAAGGTTTTTGGTTGAGTTGTTTTATAGCTGTGTTTCATAGTCGCACCTCTTCTAGGAGGACAACACGAGGCAACGAATGCACCAGCACTCACTCAAGAACGACGCACTCGTTTACACAATGCACCCCTTCCTCCCACCGTACCCTCAACATAACACCCTCATACCTCTCATCCCATCGATTTAAACCCCCGACAAAAACACAAGTCAACGAAAAAAAAAGAGCTTCACAATATCAAAACATCACTCGCCGTACAAATAAC